TATATATATATATATATTCTATAAAATGTGCACTCGTTACACATTTGTGACTCTGGTTCACCCAGTCTTGCCATTTGCACAGCCCCACCACACAGCCAGGCAGGCATGCGGCCCATTTTTTCACCGGTATAGCTTCCTTTGTGATCTGATGTGTAATAATGATAACAGAGGAGTACAAATCACAAGAAGCTGCGACACATCTTTTCCCTCGTTTGACTTTTTATTCAACAGGACAAAACAGAATAAAATATTTTTACAAGATAAACAACCTTACAGTATGCGATTCAACATTTAGCCGTTTGCATGGATCCCAATAAGGTGTCTTGCAATCATATTTGAAAGAAGGGCCTTGTAATTCACTTTAATTTCAGGCCATCATTTGGTCATTGGGCCCTATATGCATTTAATGCTGCAAATTTGAAAACATGATTCTATACAGTTTTTGCTCAACTGCCAATGTTCAGCTAAAAGGGACGTAAAGTGTCCCTGTCACCTTGGTGAAAGTGAACAAACCATGGGCAGGCTGTACAAGAAGATGATTAATACATTTCTGTCTGGTTGGTGGAGAGATCAAATTTTGAATCTTTATAGGTGCCCATACACCTTGCGATTATCATTTGATCTCTTTCGTGCCGCCATCGAGCCGTGGTCTGTGTTCTGCTCGAATAACTTATCATGCACAGACCAATGTGGATTTCGATGATTGTTCGTTAGCAATACAAACTAAGCAAATTTTGTCGATCGACAGAACAGATTTTAGTTTGTGCTTTTTTTGCGTACAAAAACGCCATTAATCCATCAATTTTCATACGATTCGAAAAAAGTTTTCCAGCCTGACCGATCGAGGAAATTCGGCCAGTTGTACAGTAATGCTGATCGTTCACTTCCCATCAACTGGCCGATTATACAAATGAAAACCCGATTTAGTTCGGAAAGCAAACGATAATCGCAAGGTGTATGGACACCTTAAGAAATACTGAGGCTGCTGCAATCTGCACAGTATGTTGTGGTTCCTCCCGCTACGTCACCGTTGTGGTTTGTATTGATGTGGCATCGAGCAGGAGGAACCATAGAGGAGCTCTCTGACACAGAGTCAAACCTTCCTTTTCGTCAAGAGCTACCAGTGCCGCCACTTTATATAATTTGTAAGCATTGATCTTCTTTTACAGCCTGCCTATGGTCAGTTATAACGAAGCAGTGACAAACAATGCCATATAGTAACCAACACCATCCTACGAAGAACACTTATCTCAGAGACTCTGGTATTTGTTAGCTCGGAGATCTCATATTAGGTCCTCAATTTAAAGGCGACACTTATGCACTGAAAAAAAGACGACCAAACAAGAATTCTGGTATCGCTTTTCCTGTGAGGTCCACATGGGTGAGGACTTCATGGATGAAGATTAAATAATTATTTGGCAGACAACATTGCACAATTCCTATAATTAAAACAATTACTAAAATCGTATGATTGGCTGTCTCAATGGCCATTCAGTTCCGATAACCACAAAACAAAAAAAAGAGGCATTCTGAAAACTGAAGATGATTAATACGTTTCTGTCTGGTTGGTGGAGAGGTCAAATGGGTTTGTCAAGGGGTGATGTCCACCAGGTTTTAGATATATTCTGGCTGGGAATAAATGGAATTATTTAGAGTCTGGAGATCACCTTTAATGAGGTTCTTCTGAAAAGAGCTAAACCCTTTGCCTCTTACACACAGCCATTGCTATTAAAGGATTTATAGCTCTCAGCTCCTTAAGTTCCACAAGAGACCCAGGGCTGTGTGATGTCTGAACCCTGCTGACCCTAATTCAACACTGCTAGGTGTTAGGACAAGGGCTGCCATAGATGCCTATTTAGCTTGATAAGCATCTATGGCAACACCTCCCAAAACCAATCAGTCTGAGCACAGCAGATTTCAAATAACGGTCAGGCTTCCAACAGCCCTTGCTTTGGCTTGTAAGTTAATGAGCGGAATTCTCTCTGTAAGTAAGTTTTAGGCATTTAAAGGTGTCATGAGGAACTAAATCTGGAATGAAAAGAAGAAAAAAGACACAAGTGCAGAGAGATCAAAAATCCACAAAACAAAAAGAGTAAGTAATGTAAAGGAGTAAACTAAGAACAATTAGCAACGTACCCAAGCACAGCTCCAACATTTCTGGAAACCCCTTCTAAACACTGATCCGGCCTTCCCAAAAATCCTATGCAAATACAGACTTTCTGTAAGTTGGCACCTGATCAGGTAGAAGTCTAAATGAAACAGAGATTGGGAATAGATAGGACCTCGGTCTGGTTTTTAATCCCATTTTCCCCAGTGTGAAGAGTTATCCTCACTTCCTGTCCTATGTGGCAATGGTAGTTAGGACAGAAGTGAAGTCTACCCAAAGGTCACGGCAGAGAGAGGTTCCAGCCATTTGGTACTCTACTCAATTGTTTTCACATTGCCATCTTTTTTCTTTTGTAAGTGGCATAGTTTAGCAAAACACTAAGTAAGGGCAAGACTATCCAACGGGGTCAAAGACAGCAATAAAAAAACATACAGGGGATCAATTTTGTCAAAAACGAAAAAAATATGCTTTAGGTAGACCAACTTTAAGCAAGCCCTAACTTTTGCCTTACATGTGACAGCAGTTGGTGTTGGCTGTGGGGTGCTCAGATACTGAGTGCTGTGTTGTTGAGTGAGATGTTCCTTCTCTCGTTATACCCCAGAGGGTGGTGTGTTTTGTAGGGCTGGAGTAACATTTAGTAGGGGTTTCCAGAAACGCTGGAGATGTGTTGAGATGCCTTTCTACGGGTTTAGAAGCCTTGTGAAATTTACTACATCTCCTAAGTAGAGGCTTTCTTTACCAGTCGCAAAGATACCACCACTGTGGCTTAAGTGGTCATGGCTATATCTTCCAAAAATATCAAGAAAAGGCTTATTTTTTTTCCCAAACACGAAAAAATCCACAGTGCATCCAGTTAGAAAACGATCAGTACAGTAGTAAGACAGCGCCCTGGTGGCATACTTCGGAATTTGCACAGAACGTAAAAAGTAATAATTTACAAACGCCACTTGTAGTGGATAGGTTTGGTTGTAATTGCGACACTCCCAGCCAAAAAAATAAAAATTAACTGGGAGAGAACACCAAGTTCCGATTCTGGCGTGCTGGCCCAAAGCTCCTCTTTTATGTAAAGAGTCCTCTTGGCTATTTCCAACGATGACGTACCAGCGAGGACTCATCGTTGACCACCTCGGGGCCGTCGTTCCGCCTGTTGGGAATCAGCAGCAAGACCACCAGCACCAGCAAAATAATGCCACAAAAAGTCATGAGAGCGTATGATATAATCCACATGATGGGCTCTCGGAACGGGTTGGTGGTGATGCAGTTACTGGACACATCTTTGGTGCTGAATGGACCCGTGATCTCGGAGACCCGTACGCCGTTCACTTCTGCAAACAGAAGAAAAAAAAAAAAGCAAGATAAGAATAAGGGTCCTTCTCTGAAGCTGCTGGCAGGACACAAGCAATTTTTCTCAAGCTGTGGTTGCTTTAGAAAGAAAACAAAGCACAAGATATTGCACACTTTTTGTTTTGATGCACAGGGAATGTGTTTAGCGGATTAAGCTGAAGGTTCAGTTGGGTCAGTGGCGTCACAAAGGGGGGTGCGGCCCGCACCCAGGTGACACCATTGGATGGGGTGACACCAAAATGACTGACAGTCATTTTCCTGTCACCCCCTCTAAAAAGTAGGGCACTTGGTCATGGACCGAAGCCCGACAGTGTCAGGAGAGAAGAGGGGACCCGGCGGCATACCTCATCCTGCCAGGTGGACGTCCCCTCCGCTCTCTGCCGGCATCCATCACCGTCAATTAGATGGCCGCACATGCGCGATGACGTCACGGCGGGGTGTCACCCGGTCTTCGCTCTGGGTGACACCTGGCCTCGGGACGCCCCTGAGTTGGGTGTTAAGTATATACTTCCATGGCAGTCTGCAGTAAAGTGGATCCGTTTCTCTGCCCCGAGTGAACAAAGCACAGATTCACTTTGAAATCAGAATCATCAAAGAGAACATTATAGACCTTCTCATATCCAAATGCACACTAGTAGTCCAGCAAATGTGAGGGGAATGCCGTCACTGCCCAGCTCCTAAAAGCGGAAGACGTCACTGGCTGGCATGTTCTAAACCGTGATTTATGCCGTTCCAGGCACCGCCTGATGTTTGAGCTTGTTTAACATGTTTGCCTGTTTAATTGCTCCTAAACAGGTTCTGTTGATGTTTACCCCCCAGTCTGAGGTCTGTACGGAGGTATGGACCTGGGCTGGAGGATCTGGGGATGGGCTACATGGGGTTATCCATACCAGGCCCTTAACTGAGAAAAGGGTCTGGTATGTATTTTAAAGGAGCACTCCATGTAAAAACACAATATAACGAGGGCTTCCCCCTTAACATTAGGAGCCCTCCCCTTTCACATCAGAGTCCTCAGTCCCCCATCACACCAGATGCCCCCTTTTATATCAGAGTCCTCAGTCAAACCATCACAATAGGAGCCCCCCTTTCACATCAGAATACTCAGTCCAACCATCACAATAGGAGCCCCCCTTTCACATCAGAATACTCAGTCCAACCATCACAATAGGAGCCCCCCTTTCACATCAGAATACTCAGTCCAACCATCACATCAGGAACCCCCCTTTCACATCACAATACGCAGTCCAACCATCACATCAGGAACCCCCCTTTCACATCAGAATACGCAGTCCAACCATCACATCAGGAGCCTCCTTTCACATCAGAGTCCTCAGTGCAACCATCACATCAGGAGCCCCCCTTTCACATCAGAGTCCAAAGTCCAACCATCACATCAGGAGCCCCCCTTTCACATCAGAGTCCAAAGTCCAACCATCACATCAGGAGCCCACATTTTACATCAGAGTCCTCAGTGCAACCATCACATCAGGAGCCCCCCCTTCACATCAAAGTCCTCAGTCCAACCATCACATCAGGAGCCCACATTTTACATCAGAGTCCTCAGCGCAACCATCACATCAGGATCCCCCTTCACATCAGAGTCCTCAGTCCAACCATCACATCAGGAGCCCCCTTTCACATCAGAGTCCTCAGTCCAACCATCACATCAGGATCCCACGCCTTTCACATCAGAGTCCTCAGTCCAACCATCACATCAGGAGCCCACATTTTACATCAGAGTCCTCAGTGCAACCATCACACCAGGAGCCCCCCTTTAACATCAGAGTCCTCAGTGCAACCATCACATCAGGAGCCCCCATTTCACATCAGAGTCCTCAGTGCAACCATCACATCAGGAGCCCCCATTTCACATCAGAGTCCTCAGTCCAAACATCACATCAGGAGATGAACTTCCATCTGCTTCTGAATGGATCCAAGAATGGACATGCTTGTCTGCGACCCAGGGGGGAGATCTTCCCTCACTTTTCAGTATCCGAGGGTCATTTCATTCAGCCTCACTCACCGGCACAGGTGCTGACCGCAAAACCGACCTTCTTGTCTGCTCTGTCAAAAATAACGTAGAAACCTTCCATGACAGTGGCCCCGATAACCAGCGCGTTGGAAGAGGGCGAGATGCCGAAGCGGTAACAGTTCATATCTTCACGGAACGTCATCACAGACTGGATATACAACTGTAGAGAGTATACAGATTTATACATAGACAGTTACACAATATGTCAGAAAAGACAGAAATCACTGACCTCGTGGTGCACAAAACAAATATAGACTCACAAAACATAAAGAAGTGACCCATATACCTGCACTGACCGGCGGAAACGGAGCACCGGGAGGACATAAATTGCACTTGTTTCATCTGTGAGCAGTGTTAAAACAGCAAATACTGGAACGGCTGACACGTTTCTGAGTTCCCACCTCATTTCATCAGAGCCTCACACAATATTACACAAATATCTACATGCACAAGAAGCTATCCAACTGTATTCTTAAAGCCAAACTCTGGGGCAGCTCTTCCCTCCCAGTTTCCCCCCTGCAGCTATACATCAGCTATAACACCACCCTGCCCCCTTTTTGCCAATGATCTGAGACATCAGCTTGTGATGTAAGAAGGAAATTGCAAATGCAGAAAAATACCCACTGGTCTTGCCAGAAATCCAGTGCCCTTGCAGCTTGCCTTGTGCTGAACTGATATCTGAAACAATGTTATCAACCTTCCCAGATACCCTTTGTGAACTACAAACACCCACTTAATGGAGAGGATGAGAGAAGGAGGCGTTCTGTTGTCCTGTCCTTGGGTAACAACGCTGCTTCTTCATAAAGACAGTACAAATGGGTGAGTGTTGTCACCCTAGGACAGGAAGTGTTACTGGTGGGATCACCAGGTGAAAATAAAAGGAAAATATAATAATGAATGCAGCCACAACATCTAAGGACTGGTAAGCTGCAATATATTACTTTTTAGGGTGGCTTTGGATATGCTTTAAAAAAGGACAATCTGTTCCCGATACAGCTTTAGGTGTGCTTTGCTGATTATAAAAGTATTTGTTTTTGACTGTCTGCAGGTTTAAACAGGCCGAAGCCTATTTCGCAACATGAAAGATAAACCGTTTCTGCTTCTACAGGCTGTCAACAAATCACAAACTGAAGCAACAGTTTTTTTTTCCCTTTGCAGAGTGCAAACAGTGGTGCTTTGTAGACATAAATTCAGCTCATCTGGAACCTGGCTGGATGTGGAACGTTCTGGATTTTATCAGAGTCTGCCTGCCAACTGCTGGGAGCCACCATAAACGAGAAGAGAGCACACATTACCCTCTTACAGTATTCCCTAGGTCATGTCTAAATTACAACTCCCTATGACCAAAGATCTACATAAATATAATTTACATGCACTTATATGTTAAATATGTTGTCTACAGAAAGCCCTTTTTCCATTGGTGGTCCATTTAGGTCCAAAAGTTGACCTAAAGTCTACGCAGACTAGGGTTGCCACCTATCCAGGATTCACCCGGACCGTTCGGGTTTTGAATGCGGTGTCCGGGTTTCATGGCACCAGGAACCCGGACACAAGATGTCAGGCAGACAGGGGCAACCAAAACTAAGATAGGGGCTACTGGCCCTTCACTGAAAATAGTCTCAACTGTGTTATTTACATATTAATGGGTGGTGCCCATTACATATGAATAAGCCACGACTCATTCTCCCAAAAAAATATGTCGCTAGAGTGCTCGGGCTTCGCTTGAAGAAAAGGTGGTAACCCTAACGCAGACCTAAATCAATTCTCCAAAATGTGCTGCCTTATAACCCAACATATGAAGCAACTACCAGCAAGCTCCAGGATTCATTCAGTTAGGGTGGAAAGACAGAAGGTCAGAGATAGAAGTGGTGTAGAGACAGAATCACAGGTTGGCAAAAGGAGGTCACCAGCACACCATTTAAGTGAAAGCAACAAAAGTCCCTTTATTAATGGAGTACTGTCATTCCAGTACAAGCGTTTTTTGGGTCCGCACAGCGTCCCCTTCATCAGCCTGATGACAGGACCCCATTAATAAATGGACTTTTGTTGATTTCACTTAAATGGTGTGCTGGTGACCTCCTTTTGCAAGCTTGTATATCTTCACGGCGCCATCCGTGGTCAGTGCGAGCACCCACCAGGATCTCAAGGAACATCCTATACCGGTAAGGAGTGCAGCAAGACACTTATATTAATTAGAATCACAGGTTGGACCCACCACTATGGCTGTACAACAATGGATTACAAAAGCTTGGAGCTGCTGGTAGGTGAGCATTTGGCTGCTTTCCATATCAGATTTAGCAAAAGCACTCTGTGGTAGATGAGATGAAATGAGTTTAGGCTCTCAAAACCTGTCTGCTTTAAAGTGAACCAGTCACTTTGCTTATTTAGGCCAAATAGGTTATTTCCCAAAATCTCCAACCCCCCTGCCTTCCCCGCTCTTCTGACACCATGTTGGCCTGTTGGAGCTCTCAGTAAAAAGCGATGTGTAAGCTCTATGTTGGAGAGAAGGTTACATGCTCCTACATACATGAAGTGCTAGCTGTTTCTAAGAGCTTTGGCAGGCAAACTGATCGGCGGTGAAGGGTGGCAAGGGTATCTGTGAACGAGGAGTGTCTTAATGGGCATAGTGACAGGTTTACTTTAAGTGAAACCTATATTGAGAGAAACACTGTTCACCTTCACTAAGTGCTCTTCTGTAAGGAGGCGTACAGCTCAGTACTTTGAAGGAACTGTTTGCTCCCATTTACCAAGGTCCTTCATAGATAGCCATCAATAAAAATAAGGGTCAGGCTGCCACCCAAAGCCAACATGGGGTTCCCCTTTCCAGAAATAAGGCCTATATACACCGATCAGACATAACATTATGACCACTGAGAGGTGAAGTGAATAACATTGATTATCTGGTTACAACAGCACCTGGAAGTGGGGGGATATATTACAATGCTACCTGGAAGTGGGGGGATATATTACAATGGTACCTGAAAGTGGGGGGATGGGTTTATTAGGCCGCACCGCAAGTGAACATTTTGTCCCTGAAGTTGATGTGTTGGAAGCAAAAAAACATGGGCAAGCGTAAGGATTTGAGCGACTTCTGAGAAGACTGGGTCAGAGCAACTCCAAAACGGCAGCTCTTGTAGGATGTTCCCGCTCCGCAGTGGTCAGGATTTCCCAAAAGTGGTCCAAGGAAAAAAAACGGTGAAGCTGTGACAGGTTCATGGGTAGCCAAGGCTCACTGATGCATGCGGGAAAAGAAGGAGTCCCCACCTCGCAACTTACAGGACTTAAAGGATCTGTTACTGATGGCTTGGTGCCAGATACCACAGCATACCTTCAGGGGTCCAGTGGAGTCCATGCTCAGATGGGTCAGGATTTTGGCAGCCAAAGGGGGACCTACTCAATATTAGCCAGGCGGTCATAATGTTATGGCTGATTAAATAAAGATGGCTACCTGTTAACAGTGTGTCTATACTTCTGAGATACAACACTAATGGCCACCTCCTGTCTGGAAGGACATTAATGGGTAAAACACTGAGGTCACAGAAGCAATGAACGCAAAGACAACCTGAGGCTTCATGGTGAGTCGGAAGGAGAGACTCGCATTGTCGTTGTCACGCAAGTAGATGGAGAGATCCGGGAAGTAGGCCCATGGCTCCTCTGTTTTCTCCCAACATGCCAGCTGCATACCTGTCCAGAATTCCGTATTGAAGTTCTGAATCTGCATGACAGAGATTCCAGTTAAGTCTGGGAAAATGACAGTGAATGAATGACAGACAATAAAAGGCAAACTAACCGTATGAATGAGAAAAAAATGGGGCTTTTTAGGTGCCACAACACATTCATGTTTTTCATAAAAAACGTGTTTTATTAATTCACTTAAAAAACTTGTGTAAAATCAATTTAGTCACTCCAAATATCAGTTATATAATACAAGTACGGGACATGTATAATAGCATGTACATATCTGGACCATGTCCTTCTGAGTTGAACAGATCATGAATGACAGTAGGCTGCCCCCTCTAATGGGGCAGCGATCCCTCTGTTAGGGCGGAGTTGCCTCTGTTAGGGCAGAGTTGCCTCTGTTAGGGCAGAGTTGCCTCTGTTAGGGCAGAGTTGCCTCTGTTAGGGCAGAGTTGCCTCTGTTAGGGCAGAGTTGCCTCTGTTAGGGCAGAGTTGCCTCTGTTAGGGCAGAGTTGCCTCTGTTAGGGCAGAGTTGCCTCTGTTAGGGCAGAGTTGCCTCTGTTAGGGCAGAGTTGCCTCTGTTAGGGCAGAGTTGCCTCTGTTAGGGCAGAGTTGCCTCTGTTAGGGCAGAGTTGCCTCTGTTAGGGCAGAGTTGCCTCTGTTAGGGCAGAGTTGCCTCTGTTAGGGCAGAGTTGCCTCTGTTAGGGCAGAGTTGCCTCTGTTAGGGCAGAGTTGCCTCTGTTAGGGCAGAGTTGCCTCTGTTAGGGCAGAGTTGCCTCAGTTAGGGCAGAGTTGCCTCAGTTAGGGCAGAGTTGCCTCAGTTAGGGCAGAGTTGCCTCAGTTAGGGCAGAGTTGCCTCAGTTAGGGCAGAGTTGCCTCTACAGAGATCCTTGCTTTTGCTATAAAAGATCCTGCAGAGGCATGATGGGATTTGTGGTTTTTAGCACAGCTGGAGGATTGGAGTTTGGTTTCCCCTTCTTTATTATCTACACACATGAAATATTGTGGAAATTGGACTTCCTCGACGCTCTGAAAAGGAAAGTTATTTCTGTAGAATATCCCCGGGCCAGTCGCCTCCCTGTATCTGTAGCTCTAGTAAGCGGTTGCACAATTTCATCAGAATTTGCCCTTTTTTCAGCAAACAAAACACGTCAGCGGAAAACACACAATCACGGATCCGGAGCGACTGCACAAACCTTTCCTCCTCCCTGGAACTGAACGCGGAACTCCACCTCATGCACCATGATAGGAATGTACTATGCGTCATGTTCCTGTGCGAGGCATCCAAGGGGCGCCACTGACAAGTGTGCAAAGCGGGGACACGGCACTTTTTACACGGCGGGCTTCATTTACTAACAGAGCCGAGATCATTCACTTTATAGTCGTTTGTAAATACGCAGAACCTGAAAAAGGATTTCGCTAACACACGATTGGCTCCCCATGGGCCCAGTGTTGACGAGAGGGAAGGGAGGAACCAGGAAAGGCAAAATATAAAATCAGGCTAAACTTCAGCTTCAGAACAAAAACCAACCGAACACAAAAGGTTGTCGAGCAAACTGATGAATTCCACACACCAGAGAACCATTTGTTGTTGTTATCCGCAGTAGAGCTGCAGCTAACGATTATTTTCAAAATCGATTAGTTAGCCGATTATTAAAAGCACTGGTTATCTAGACCTTCATCCTGCAGCTAGATCACTTCTAAAGCTCATCGTATTCAGTACTGTGCAGGGAAGCACCAAATAAATACCGTTATTATAGAAGCTGAACTCCAACACACCGCTGACATACATCAATGAATTGTTTCACCAGATGAAGTGTTTGTAATTGTGTTCAACCCGCTTTGTGATCCAGATATCCATGCCAGACAGAATAGCAAGGTAGGGAACCTCACTTTTCTTTCCATGCATGTGTACCAACCTGCCCCCCAGACCCTGTGTATGAACAATGAAGGGAAAACAGCTCACCGAGGTAATTTATTGCCAGAAACCATTTTCAATCAATGCTGATCAAAGCTGTAGTGATCTGATTGGCTCAGAGTGTATCCCCTCCATGTCTGAGAGCTGCTGTACAAAGCAAAAAAGTGTTCCCATTGGCTCAGAGTGTACACCCTCCATGTCCGAGTGCTGCTGTACAAAGCAATAGTGCTCCCATTGGCTCAGAGTGTACCCCCTCTCCCAGTCTGAGTGTTGCTGGTCAAAGCTATAGTGATCTGATTAGCTTAGAGTGTACCCTATTCCAAGTCTGAATGCTGCTGTACAAGGCAATAGTGTTCCCATTGGCTCAGAGTGTACCCCCTCCATGTCTGAATGTTGCTGTACGAAGCAATAGTCTTCCCATTAGCTCAGAGTGTACCCCGCCTCCATGTCCGAGTGCTGCTGTACAAGGCAATAGTGTTCCCATTGGCGCAGAGTGTACCCCGCCTCCATGTCTGAATGTTGCTGTACGAAGCAATAGTGTTCCCATTGGCTCAGAGTGTACCCGCCTCCATGTGAAGCAATAGTGTTCCCATTGGCGCAGAGTGTACCCCGCCTCCATGTCTGAATGTTGCTGTACGAAGCAATAGTGTTCCCATTGGCTCAGAGTGTACCCGCCTCCATGTGAAGCAATAGTGTTCCCATTGGCGCAGAGTGTACCCCGCCTCCATGTCTGAATGTTGCTGTACGAAGCAATAGTGTTCCCATTGGCTCAGAGTGTACCCGCCTCCATGTGAAGCAATAGTGTTCCCATTGGCTCAGAGTGTACCCCCCTCCATGTGAAGCAATAGTGTTCCCATTGGCGCAGAGTGTACCCGCCTCCATGTGAAGCAATAGTGTTCCCATTGGCTCAGAGTGTACCCGCCTCCATGTGAAGCAATAGTGTTCCCATTGGCTCAGAGTGTACCCCCCTCCATGTGAAGCAATAGTGTTCCCATTGGCTCAGAGTGTACCCCCCTCCATGTGAAGCAATAGTGTTCCCATTGGCTCAGAGTGTACCCCCCTCCATGTGAAGCAATAGTGTTCCCATTGGCTCAGAGTGTACCCCCCTCCATGTGAAGCAATAGTGTTCCCATTGGCTCAGAGTGTACCCCCCTCCATGTGAAGCAATAGTGTTCCCATTGGCTCAGAGTGTACCCCCCTCCATGTGAAGCAATAGTGTTCCCATTGGCTCAGAGTGTACCCCCCTCCATGTGAAGCAATAGTGTTCCCATTGGCTCAGAGTGTACCCCCCTCCATGTGAAGCAATAGTGTTCCCATTGGCTCAGAGTGTACCCCCCTCCATGTGAAGCAATAGTGTTCCCATTGGCTCAGAGTGTACCCCCCTCCATGTGAAGCAATAGTGTTCCCATTGGCTCAGAGTGTACCCCCCTCCATGTGAAGCAATAGTGTTCCCATTGGCTCAGAGTGTACCCCCCTCCATGTGAAGCAATAGTGTTCCCATTGGCTCAGAGTGTACCCCCCTCCATGTGAAGCAATAGTGTTCCCATTGGCTCAGAGTGTACCCCCCTCCATGTGAAGCAATAGTGTTCCCATTGGCTCAGAGTGTACCCCCCTCCATGTGAAGCAATAGTGTTCCCATTGGCTCAGAGTGTACCCCCCTCCATGTGAAGCAATAGTGTTCCCATTGGCTCAGAGTGTACCCCCCTCCATGTCTGAGTGCTTCTGTACAAAGCAATAGTGTTCCCCTTGGCTCAGAGTGTGCCCCTCTTCCAAGTCTGCATGTTGCTGATCAAAGCAAAAGGGATCTGACTGGCACAGAGCGTACCCCCTCCCAGTAGGAGTTCTGCTGTACCATTGTCTCAGAGTGTTCCCCCTCCATGTCCGAGTGCTGCTGTACAAATAAATAATTGTCTGGTTGGCTCAGATCTGAGTGCTGCTGTACATTAGCTGACACCGGGGGATAGTCAGGTATCTACAACGGATGGTTTGTAATTAGTCCAAAACTGCTTTAAATGGTGTTTACATCGGCCTGGAGTTCAGCTTTTAAAAAAAAAAGTTACTCCTGACCAGCGATCCTGTTTTTCGGCGGATGTAGAAGATTTAAACTCATGCTCAGTAAAAGGTTTTTACTGCTTAACCTCACAGGAAGAACAGAGAAGAGACATTGTTTTATTTGAGCTGCATGCCCACCAACATGCAGAAAAAGGGCAAGCACCGGTCGGAGCTCAGCTACAGCGAGGGAAGGTTAAAATGAAAAAAAAAAAAAAAAAATTACTGTAGGATGTGAAATCTTTATCTTGTTAATTTGTTTTACGCATAGGAGTTGAAAACCCTTCCAGGCAAACGTTATAAGACAAAGTCACCAGAAAATCTATTTTTAACCACTTGCTGACCGGGGTGTTACACCTCCTTCCTGGCCAGGCCATTTTTCAGTATCCAGCGCTGCGGTACTTTGACTGACGTTTATTCCGTCATGCAACGCTGTACTGAAATTAATTTTATACAGTTTTTTAGCGACACACAGAGCTTTCTTTTGGTGGTATTTAATCACCACTTTTTTTTATATAACAAAAAAAGTATCGAAAATGTAAAAAAATATTTTTTTCCTTCATTATGTTATGAAACATTTATTATTCCCCAATTTTTTGGTAAAATATAAAAGACGGGGTCACGTCGGTGAAATAGATACCCAAAACATCAAGCTTTAAAATCGTGCACGCCTGCAGAAATCGCAAAAAACTACCACACCCAAAATTGGCCGTAGGCGACGCTTTAAAAGCTTTTACTGCTCATATCCGTTTACTGTTAACAGTGATGGACGGCCCGAAAATTATTTCTCGCACTCTGACGTTCGCGGTAATATGTAACATGTGTGGTGCAATAGTCGTTTCTGCACATAGGCGCACCCGACGCGCGTTTGTGCTTGTATCCAGCGGCTCCTTTGTAAATGATTCCTGCAAACAGCATTTGCAAGTATCATTGAGAAATATGGTGTAACATGTGTGGCGTAATAGGCAAAATTGTCGTTTTTGCATGTAGGCGCACCTGACGCATGTTTGCGCATGTATGTGGGGAACTTAAACAGTGTTTTTTTTTTTTGTGATTTACATTTTTTTTTAACACTTAACTTTATTATAAAATCACATAGGGGACTAAGAAGCTAATGTCATCTGGGGACCCCCAAAGAAGCTGTTGAAGCAGAGATCTGCTTCACCAGCTACTTTCCGGCTTCTGTAGCTGGAGAATGACAGGTGAATGAGGAAGTGATGTAATAAACATCACTTCCTGCATTCACAGAATGGGGAGGAGGGCGGAGAGAGATCGTGTATCGATCTCCCTCTATTCTCCTTGCCCAAAGCCACAAAATGCCGGTCCCGGGCCCGCACAGAGCACAGCGAGCCCAGGATTGTGGCAATGGCGGAGGGCACACAAAGGTACCATATACAAGCAATCAGCGGTCTCTACAGACGCCGGACCGCTTGTATGTAAATAACCATCGCTGGCTGTTTCAATGTTGACAGGCAGTACCCACGAGCAGACGCAGGCACATAGGACGTTTTTAGATGCCCCCCCGCATCCACAAGGCTCCCGTCTGGCCATTTTGCTACGCTCGGCAGATGGGAGGTGGTTAAATTATATAAAGAAAAAAAAAATCTTATAAATTGCAGCTCAGCAGCCATTAGATGTGGTGGCTGCATTAGGATTCTTTTTTTAGGTTGTGCTAATTTTCTGAGAGTACAGAAATATGTGTTGATTCTGCCAGAAATGCCGTGTCCTTGTCATTGCCTGTGTGCTGAACTGATATCTGAAAGTGTTATCAGTCGTCGTCGTCCCCGATAGAAATTGTGGGGGATTTTTTGTAGTTCAAATCAGGAGCGCAGGCTTGCCTAGCACTGCTCCTACATAGATAGGGTATACTGAGTGGTGTCACGCGTGGACAGGAAGTGTGTTACTGGCAGGATCACCAGCTAAAAATAAAAGGGAAAAGGGCATTGTTCCTTGTAAAGTTGGGCATGTTTTGCTCCTCTGTCTCTTTATTCTTTGGAATACATGGCACTATCACCACTAGATGGCACTAAGGAGCATAGGAATGTCCTATGCACCTCAACACCATCTAGTGGCAGCTTTGACATCTGACCACATCTAAGGACCGGTAAGCTGCAATGTATTAGATTTTTGCTCTTGGGTTTAGATACACTTTAAGGAATGCTGCTCGCCTTTAAAGATAAAAAATATTACCTATAAAAAAAGAAATACGTTTGGTAAAACATGAGCGCTAAAATGCCACTTCCTCCATCAGCAAGGCCAGCAAGGTTTATGTTACCTGTATGTCAGATTTGGTTTTGAACAGGTCAGGTTTTCGTTTGCCGTGTAGGACTGCACAGTAGTACTAGACCTATGGGAAAGGTTTCTTGAACATTCCTTCAATCTCTTGTGCCAAACTCTGTGTACAGGACCTTTAGAGCTATCTCTGGACCTCCAGATACCACACAAGTGTGTACAGGACCTTTAGGGCTTTCTCTGGACCTCCAGAGCTTTCTCCGGCCCTCCATATACCATACAAGTGTGTGCAGGGCCTTTAGGGCTTCTCTGGACCTCCACATACCACACAAGTGTCTACAGGATCTTTAGGGTTTCTCTGGACCTCCACATACCACACAAGAGTGTACATGGCCTTTACGGCTTCTCTGGATCTCCATATACCATATAAGTGTGTACAGGACCTTTATGGCTTTCTCTGGATCTCCAGATACCACACAAGTGTCTACAGGATCTTTAGGGCTTCTCTGAACCTCCAGATACCAAACAAGTGTGACAGGAGCTTTAGGGCATCTCTGGACCTCCACATACCACACAAGTGTGTACAGCACCTTTAGGGCTTCTGTGGACCTCCACATACCACACAAGTGTTCACAGGACCTTTAGGACTTTCTCTGGACCTCCATATACCACACAAATGTGTGCAGGACCTTAAGGGCTTCTCTGGACCTCCATATCAGGGTTGGTAGTTTCCTTTTGCACAGGAGAATCTTACCAAAGATGTCTGAATGATGGCTTCCACCATGGCGTTGAAGACCTTGTCTGGGAGACGCAGGAGCGTTGTGCCGCTGTCCACAATGGCTTTATCAGTGTTGTACTGGAAGAGAGAAATAGATTAGAAGTAATAATTGGGTCACACAGGAGAGAAACAAGACAAGTGCATGGGGGTTGTGCCTGTTCAGGAGTAGGGTTGATATTTATCTTCAATGCATCCCAAACATCACAAATTCAATTGTGAAAAGCTAGTACTGCACATCTATGATGTTCGTGTGCACTGAACTCGGCAGCATGTGTAATTATAGAAGAACCCCAGGCACAACTGATCTTAACCCTTGCAGTGGGGCTACCCCCGAACTGCAAGGGTTAGAATTTTTGGATAGACTGGAGATAGGTTAGAATTTCTGTCTCCCTACTAGGGAGGTTGAGCTGCTCTCTGTCTTGAAGACCATTGTCAAAATCCAAACTTTTGAGTTTTTCCCAGAACATAAAAACAGGGGAAATGTTCACAAAGGGAATTTTGCCCATGTGACAATTGTCTAAGAGGGAACTTCTCTCAATGTTGTGTCTACAGCACAGAACATAAATGGAAATCTCCCCAATGGGGGACACACGTGCAGTGCCCATCTCACCTACCCAACACAAAGGGCATTGTTCCATGGGAAGTTAGAGATGGTTTTGCTCCTCTTTCCCTTTATTCATTGGATTAATTCAAGGTTGTGGATCACAGGCAGTGTGACCCCCCTGCACAGTCTTTTTGTTTTCAACGATGTGAGCTGCACTTGATTCCAAACGTACGTTTCCTCACCTGACTCGTTTATAGCATAGTGTTTGTTATTTGGTCTTATAGAAAACTAGATGTAATGCCAACATACTTTGTGGCTGGCATGTAACTTTTCCACCCTGCGTATAGCTAGGCAAATGCTATTCGAAAAGTATCACCACCACTAGATGGCACTGAGGAGCATCTGGATGTCCTATGCTCCTCATCGCCATCTAGTGATGGCAAGGACATGCAAAGGGCATTGGCCCAGCTATAGCCCACGCAGAAGACTTACAAATCACCCCCTTTTTATCAGCGCTGGGAGTCTGGTGCTGGTAGCTTTCCACGCAAGGTTCTCGTAGTTGAGAATTGGTGTGCAGAGTGTAGCTGGTCAGCAATTTGGGACATATTAAAACAACACCTACATTAGAACACCCCCTTTAATACTTCATTACAAGCCCTTAAAGAGGAAATGTATCCTCATCTTTAAAATAACAACACACCTTTAGAAATGTTTAGTAATAACAATGTACAAACACACACTAGATAATTGCCGGCTTTGTATTCTTTGCATACCTTGTTTCTCATTTTCTCCCCCTTCTTCTTACAGTGGACATGTTATCTAAGGGCAGAAACTTCCTCTCCCTTTACTTCCTTGAACTCTGGCACATGTGACCATGCACATCAACTCAGGGGAGGAAAATGCCTTTCCCTGAGATCTCATGAGATAGCAGATGAGATTTTCCAGCAATGCTCTGCTGATGTAACCTTCCCAGGGTGCAACACTTGGGCGCAGTATATCATTTGAGCCAAAGTGGACCAGGAAGTGGATGAACTCCATTTGTAAGTAAATGAAAAATATGTTTAATGAATGGAAGATGATTTTAAATCAGCATGCAGAGCTTCATGCTGATGTGATTTGTAGTGAAAAAGGGTAAAGGTTCACTTTAAAACCTAACTCTCCCCCAACCTCAACATTTACACTAAAGTGAGCCTAACACTAACCCAACTTCTCCACTAAGCCTTGACACCAAGACCTACTCTATTGTACGTTCACTTGGTCCTGCCCCGGGAGCCTCTATAGACTCGCATAGCCAGAAAAACCTGATCTGACATAAGGTTAAAGTACGGACACAATGTTTACCAAACACTACAGGAAATACAAGCGGGTTCATTTGGAAACTCCAGGTCTCGTAAAACAAACTCCACGCCAATGGTCATAAAGTCTCGGTTGTGCATATGAATATGCAAACAAAATGATGGAAACATTTTTGGGGAGCCCCTTCAGGTTCTGTAACACACATATTTCTACACAGAGTTACCAGGAGGAGCAAAAATGAACCATTTTCAGGGTTGTATAAAAATTGAAGGGGTGTTAGGAGGCCAAAAAGCTTGCATCATTAACATTATTTAACCAATGTAAGGTATGCAACTTCAAACTTTCTGCATTAATCGATAGCTGACATGGTAAAATACTCTACCAATACATACAGTAGATACTTTACATATTCTTAAAAGACCTCATACCTCTGTGCAGTCCAGGTTCAGGTTCATCCCTCCGACTTCAAACTTGAGAACTTCCACTTGATAATACCACTCCTCGGTGATGGCGGTGTACCAGATATCCCCACTGTACAGCATAGATTCTATACCACCCATAACCTGCAAGTGGAAAAAGGCCTATTAAAGTGGATCTGAACTGAAAAAGTGAAGATTTGCTATCTTATAGACAACACCTAGAAGTGGTAATTGTGCCAAAACAGTACCATGAAAAATGCACCCTTTGCCTTGAATGTTTCCTGAATCGTAGCGCACTTCCCGTGCCTCGGCAATCGCGTGTCTTGAGCCTCATAGCTGTATATATGCAATGTGACATCATTTAAGCCATGGCTGCCTCTGACTGATAGTCTCAGTGAGATTTGGTGATTTCACTACTGTTCTGCTCATTGTTCTCCTTGCTGGAGAGGAAACTGTAGCTGAGGAACTGCAATGCAAGGACGTCCCTGCTTCGCCTTCATTCATTCCCTAGATCTGTTGTTTGCTGCTGCTTGTTAAATATGACCCAACCAGTCATCAGGTTACCTGTTATTAAGTCACCAGGTCAACAGGAAGCAAAGCCCTGCTCCTCTGAACTCTAGAAGGCCACCTCCACTCAGAACAAGGCACAGTAAATCATTTCGGCCCAGCTCCCACAGTAGAAACCCTCTAAATACAATCTGACTTGCAGTTATCGGCAATGGACATCAAGTTATATTCTAGTGCAGACATTTAAAACCAGTAAAGTGTCAATGTTATCCAGGAAAACATGTTAAATGGACCCTATAGTGTACAGTTTGTAAACAAGACATTGAGGGGTTTTTTTTAACAACCCTGTACCATTTACTTAAAAGGTCATTTTTGTGGTGGTGATGCTTCCTCAGGGGGCAGGGCCACCACACCCCGAAATCACAGAAGAGACCTTTGTCTGCCAGGTTGAGTAATGCCCGGCATCAAACCCGGAAGTATGAGGACATGTAGTGGCCAAGAAGCAGTACTGTAGAGGACAGTTCAGATTTAGGGCTTGTTTACACCATCCTTCATGCTACAAAGGGCTGTTTTTGGCGTGCAGGTCGATGTCTTTAGCGGTAGCAAGGGGTGGTGCCTCGCATTGTTACAATGAAGAGCACTGCTTACCTTTTTCCCCCACAAACTTTACAAATGTCACAATTTAATGAATCTCTGTACATTGCAGCTCTGCAGTGTGGGGAGATGAGCTGAAGTCTGCAGCATGTCTGCATTTTTACACACCGCACCCCCTCCTCGATGCACTACCGCACCCCCTCCTCGATGCACCACCGCACTCCACCTTGATTCATCACCGCACCCCCTCCTCGATGCCCCCCCGCACCCCCTCCTCGATGCCCCCCCGCACCCCCTCCTCGATGCCCCCCCGCACCCCCTCCTCGATGCCCCCCCGCACCCCCTCCTCGATGCCCCCCCGCACCCCCTCCTCGATGCCCCCCCGCACCCCCTCCTCGATGCCCCCCCGCACCCCCTCCTCGATGCCCCCCCGCACCCCCTCCTCGATGCACCACCGCACCCCCTCCCCGATTCACCACCGCAAAGCTCTCCTCGATGCAGCACCAAACCCCCGCCTCCATGCAGCACCCCAACCCTCCTCGACAGCGCCCCACCACTCCTTAATGCAGCACCGCACCCCCTCCTCAATGCAGTGATGTGAACAGTTTACATAAAAAACAACTGTACTCTATGTCCTAGCATTGAGGCTACAGTGATCCTTGCAGAATCAACGTAGGTCAATCTATATGGTGTAAATGAACCCTAAAGGGGAGTACTGCAGCCAGAGCGGCTTTCA